GCCGCTTCCCTGGCAGGAGGCACTGGGAGTGGGAGCTTAAAGCCAAAGCCCTGGCTGAGGCCTGCCCCCCTTTCCCAGCCTTTGAAAGTGTCTGGTGGTCAAGGGAAAAAAAAAAAGAGATTCATTCTTGCCACTTGTCAAAGAAGGTAAGGAAGACTTTATTCAAGAGGGGACTGTGGCAATGGGGTACGGGATCCCTGGGAGACACACGTGGATTCTTGTCGGGACTAAAAGGGTGCAAGGATGGGTGCAACGGGGGGGGGAGAGGGTTGGTGGCGGGTCTAGGGCGCAAACTGCAATACGTTTCTAGGGCTGAATTTCCAAGGCTGTTGTGCGCGCACCTTACAGATGGAGGGTGAAAAAGAGTCCGGTGGGCTGGTGAGCTGCCCCACACGAGCCCTAGATTAGATTAAGCACCTAACCCGGGTGGTTTTGCCTGGGTGGTTTTGCCTGGGAGCTGCAGAGGGAGGCGGCTGAGTAATTCAATGACGCCTGCTCGCTGGGGACGAGAAATCATTAGCGAGCGCAGAAGTCTTAGCAGCCCATGCTGATGGGCTCCAAGCCGCTGGCACACGGGGAGCGGGCAAAAGCCACCCATTTTCCACCTCCTAGGAGGGGGAGGCTGCTGAGGCAGAGGAGCCTGGACCACCTCCCCCCTGCACCTTCTCTGCCCACCGCCCCCACCCACATCACATTCTAGTTTGCTGCATGAGTGAAGGGTCAGGACAAGCTGCATTTTATTAACAGGATTATCACGGCGCGTGATTTATCCTCGTGCAGGATTTTAATTGCTCTTTGGAGGTTGAGCCGTTTCTTTTGACTGCGCTTCAGCCCATATCCTGCTGTTAAATGCTGGGTTAATAAGTAGGGGAGCCTTTAATGCCTGGGACCGATGGCCCTCGGCAATTCCCTGCTCACAAACACATCTCAGTCTCCCTTGTCCAGGACCCCGGCCAGGACATTTTTCCACGGGACCCAAACCTGAGTGTGAAATAATTGGTGTGCAGATCATCAGGGGAACTTTTCTTTCTCCTCCCTCACACACCCACCCACACAGTTTCCGAAAGCCCAAATGTTCCCTAAGCCGACACATTTCCTTTGTTAGCAGGAAAAAATATGCAAATGCTTGCTTTTACACTTTAGCACACGGAGCAGACCTGGAGCAGACTGCCAGGTTGGTTGGGTTGGAGGCATGAGAGAGTCCGGGGGACTCTTCTGCGGGAGTGACTGAGGGTGGGGCTTGGGGGGGGGGGGCCCGCGCCTGGGAGGACTGCCCCCAAAGCCAGGCTATCCTCCCACATTTCTTTGTCCTAACTAGGTCTTTTGTCCACCAGCATCCCCCATCAGCCCCCATCCATAGAACGGCGTCTGTTAATCAAAATCCAAACGAAGCGCCACACCACGCATAGTTAGAGCTCAACAATGAAGCTGGAGAAAGAGGCAGAAATCCGCAGAGATGTGTCAGGAGTACTGGGCCTCTGAAAAGCCATTTCCTTAGTAAGAAGGGTCTTTTTCCGGACAGACCAGGATCTCTCCCTGGGGCTAAGCACCCCACACGCACTGATTCAGGAGATGGAGAAGGTTCTGCGGGGGGCTTGTGGGAGTCTCTTCTCCTTCCAAATACCCAGATCAGGTAGGGGGAAGGTCACCACTGGTGCTGGACAGCCCACAGGGCACATTCAATGCAGTGTCCCGTCCCTGGCACGTCTTCTAACAAAAGGAGACATTCTGGGTGGGGTAACGGACACCTTCGTGCCAGTGTGTCCCGGTCACCGGGCTGCAGCGCTGGGGGCTGTACCACACCATCCCATTTGCCATGCTGCAAGGTGGAAATGACATCAGGAGCAAAAGGGCCACATCATTCCCCCCCCCACCCCCGAAAACCACGAGGCCCTCCGAACACCTCATTGAGAAACAGGATCATCCCGAGTTCCAAAAGGCCAGCAGCCCAAATTCCTTTCAAAGGGCTTCTCTTCAGAAAAGGTGGGCTGGACTTAGCGAAAAGGTGAATGCAGCTTAGAGGCACCGGAGGCCACTGGGTGCTTCCAAAGCTTCTCCAGGGCTTGTCCTTCGTGGATTTCGATAGCAATGCTGCACAGATAAGCGACACCAGCCATCGGGATGAAGGGTTTGCACGTGCACAAGGTCGGATGAAGGGCTGCGGCCAGGAGTGCATTTCAGTGTCATCTGTGTGTGTGTGTGTGTCTGTGTGTGTGTTGGGGGCGGCGGGGTTGTAGGTGGGGTTCAACATACAGCAGCAAAAGGGAGGGGGAGTATTGTTGGACCCTGCTGTGGACTTGCACACGCGCACACACACACTTCGAATCTTTAGCTGCCCCCTGAACTTTTTGTGAACTGTTTAAAAGTGGAGGTCTGTTGAACAAACAGCGGCGCCACTGCCCGCCATAATTTCATTGCAACAAGCTCAAGACTTTTAACTCTTCAGGTTCCTGGCCAAAGATGGAACGCACTGGCAAGGATGGAAGGGCAATATGGCCCTGCCTGGCAGGAGGCCCTGCTCCAGGGTGGCGATCAAGAGAAGCCCAAACCCCC